TAAAATAAACCTATCGGCATGAATAGTTACCCAGTTCCAGTAATTATTGGATGATCTCCAAACAGCTATTACATCAAACGGCCCTCTGTTAAACGGTAAATTAAAGTTGTACTGACCTCCCTGCGCTGATTGAGAATGACTATTAAACTGAAGATCAAAGCTAGTATTTCCGCTATAAGTTTTAGCAATCATATCTTCTGTATTATTAGTATCATTAACAATACCAATAGCATACCAATAATTGTGAGAGCCTGTTGATTCAAGCCTAAAAGACTCATTAGTATAACTTGAGGTAGATTGTTTTCCTGTGTCTGGAATTACAATACGCGCATACTTGCAGGTACTAGGCGCTGTATATAATACCTGTGGAGCAGAAGTAGTCCATGCGGAAACCGATTGCGCTCTATTATAATAATTTACCGTAGTAATACTGTCAGGGCTTGTTTTAGGGCTTCCAGCACCTGACGCCGCCGTTGCTGTTTTAGTCAATGCCATTGTTTTTTCCTCAAGTAATCTCTACGCCCTGAATGTTTATACGCGCTGAAATATCGTAGTTAGCGGGTGTAAGGTTTGTAGTGTTAATAGAAATGTCTCCAGTTCTACTTGCTCCTCCTTTTGGAAGAATAGACCTATTATTAGAACCGCTACTTCCTTTACTGCGCAAACCAAACAGTTTGAACTTAAACGTAATGGAGTTATTTTCACACAAGTACACATAGGCTTCTGTATCTCCTATGGGAAATGCTACATAACCTCCACCTAAATGCTCCATACCCCAAATGTATTCTGAGCTACTAGCATCAACTGCTGTTTTATGCTCTGCAGTAAACAAAGTATAAAAACTATTAGCTTGATTAGAACCGCTTCTTATTTGTGAGCGACTTATATTCGCAGTGTTTCCTGTAGCATCATAAACAGCTTTTGTGAATGTCCACAATCCGTAGTTATAACTATTCCAAGTAGCTCCACCCACAAAAGATAAAACTTTTGCTCAGAGTCGTTATACGCGGCACCACTTTAGGATTGCCTACATTTACATTGCTAGTAAGCGATACTTGCTTAAATACATTAGTATTCCATCCTGACTGAGATTGACCGCCAGAAAGATCGCCATTATCTGTAAGATTTCTTACATAGCAAGTAGACCCATATTTATAAAAATAATATAAATCTCCGTTGTGGTCGTAGCTAACAGCGCCGGAATTATATGTACTTTGCGTTGCATAGGCTTGTTGAGCTACAGCGTAGTAGCTACTTGTATGAATACTAGGATCAAACATCCTAATTGTGTTTCCATCAAACCAAAATAGCCTGTTATTTACATAATCTAAGGCGGGAGCACCATAGCTTCTGCTAACTATTTGACTATTATTATAATATGCCGCATACGTAGAATTTCCGTCTGTCCTAAAAACAATTGTATTTCCATCAGAAAGTTTTGTTCCAGCAAATCTCTGACTTCCTGAAAACCCTTGGTTAATAGCAGTAGTATGGTTTCCATTTAAAAACTGTTCGTCTGCTTTAGTTATGCCTGCTGTTCCTGTTGCAGATGAAAGACTAAAGTTAGAGTCTGTTCCTGAAAATGAAATAACCTGTGTAATGTTGTCGTAATGGTCGGCTGAATTTCCAGAGCTTCTTGGATTAAAGTCGTGAAAGTCAGTTGTAATTGTTTGTTTAGTTCCCGGTGTAACATCAGTATTTAACTTCATAGTCATGTTTTGACTAGGAGCAATCACCATTGTTCCTGCTGCATCTTCAAATGTGCTAAGAACTTCAATGTTGTTGTTGTCAATAAACAACTTAGCTTTATCTGCGGCAATATCACTGCCAGTAACAAACACCTCTCTTACAACAGAAGTCGTACTAGAGTTGTTGTTAATCAGAGTAAACTGATTGTTGTTTGTCATGTCAGAACCAGTAAAGTTCTGGTTGACTAACTGTTT